AAGCTGGTACTAATTTTTGTCAACACTACAAAGTTTACATAGATGGTAATGATTTTGGAATGTTTACAAAGATAAATGATAAATTGTTAAATTTCAAAACTTTGCATAGCCGGAATTCATTTTTTTTCAATTTAGAAAGTTTACAAAGCTATAAGAAATTTTTGTTAAATTTAGCACGATTACAAAGCCAGGAAAGTGGATGCTTAAACTTATAAAGTTTACAAAGCTGGCATAGTTTTTGTTTAAGTTAGGAAGGTTACAAAGCAACCACTTTAGACTATTCTTATGCACAAATAATTGGATCAAGTTCTGCATAATTTCTAAAGGTATGAAATTCGAAAGCAATTTCCAAGATTAATTTATTTATGAATAAATTTTTGAAGGTTACGAAGCTGTGACGTATTTTCTTAATTTTATGGCGTTCACATCGCTGAGAAGCAAAGTGGTGAATTTTGCTAAGGTTACAAAGCACTAAAGTATTTTTGCTACATTCATCAAATTTACATACATCTTTTCTTTTCACTTCTTACATGCAAATGTTTTCCCCGGAGGGCTGGTAATAAAATTTAACCGAAATGTATTAAAACTACACCAAAATGATTCTAGTTGCACGTAATCTTGACAAGAAGTCACTGCACTCTTAAAAATAATGCTACCATTTTGCAAACTAAATGCACTCTGAACCCTAAATTAATAAACTATACGAAATCCAGAATAACGTTAAACTGATAAAGAGTAAAATTTACTCTGGATTTAGTACAATTTAGACTTCAGAATGCAATTGGTTTTCAAAGTGGAACATTATTTTCAAGAGTGTTGTACGTGCATATAAACTTTAATTACCCACCCAACTAATTCCCAAATAATAAAAAAATTGAAAATTAAAAATTAAAATTAAAAATCCCTAATTCCCCACCACAACAAGGAAGCCTACCTAAGGTTAGCTTTGTAACCGAAGGCCTCCAGCAGGCCTCCGGTCAGCCAACCCCACTCTCAAGGGACGACGACTGCTCTCACCCCCAATCATTGAGTGTATCGTGGCTGGGCGGGCCAGGTCAGGAGGGTTCCGTTGCTCAATTTCAGGCAGTCTCACCAAGCCCTTTCGGTCCTTGGGCTGGCGTCATAGACCGCCCGCTCTGAGATTGGCCCCCTCCCTCCCTGCACCAAAGTACACAATGTACACAACCCGGGCCTAAACCCCAGGGAACCCCCCACACCCCCCCGGGGAAACTACCACCCCTTTTGGTCCTAATCCCCCCCCACAACAACCTTTCGAGGCCACACCGGGCCCTTACAACTACTGGGAGTCACACCGGACCCCCACCACCACTGGAGGTCACACCGGACACCCCACCACCACTCTGGGTCACACCGGACCCCCCACGACCACTGGAGGTCTCACCGGACACTCCACCACTTGCCCGGGTCACACCGGACCCCCCACCACCACTGGAGGTCTCACCGGACACCCCACCACCACTGGGAGTCACACCGGACCTCCCACTTCTATTTTTCAAAAATCCCGTGCCACCCTGAGATTTAAACCAAAAATTTGTCTCTCAGAAACAAAACTCACCAATAATTTGTGGGTGAGACACGAAGTAAAGTACGTCCGTAACAGAGGAAGCGCAAGATGTGAGTGAGAAAATATTCTACCTGCTTTTGTCAATGTGAGCGAGAAGGAAAGTTACATGACAGGGTATGTAAGTTGACTCAGTTCGGGTTCAATCAACATGTCGGGAAGGCCACACGCAAATTACCCGATTAGAATATAAGAGACTGGTGACAGGCGTTGCATGCATTTTTAGTTCATATACATTGTTAATTTTTCTGATTTACGAAATGGATTTTATTAAGGATAAATTACATGTTGCATATCACGTATGTATGTATGCAGCATTTATAATTTAGCAGATATGTATTTTAAATGGATCGTGCTGAGTAAAAAATGTTCAGAAACTACATATGCATAATTTCTGAATTAAATTTCTAATTATGTACGATGAAAATGCTTTCGGATTGCAAGAATTTTTAGTAACTAAATTGGTGAATGGTCCATTAACATATGTACATACATACATATACATATGCACATTTGTCTTTGTTACCAGCGTATTTCTTAAAATCCTGTAATGCACGAAAAATCCTCATACATTTTTAGTATTTACATACGTATTTGCATATAAACACTCATAGAAATCTGGTATAGTGATTCACGAATTTATTTATCGGTTTTAAGGTTGCTGCTTGGTATTAAAATTACCCCAGTCTGCCAAAATCTGCAATCTATGCTGTAAAACTTTAGTACCAACCTACATATTACCAGACGGAGTTCGATATTTTTCAACGTCACTTTGTCAGAGTCATGAATTAATTCCGCTTGGTATTATTTTAATACTGGATTCCTAAGAGTGTACATTATTGTAACAAATTAATACATATACGTACACAAACATGAGGCTAACACGTGCACTGATACAAACATATGTAGCATTGTAGCATTACGTACATACGTGTACGTATGTACATATACGCACATAATGACCTATTATGACCTTAACCTTAAGTTATGTCGTGATGTACTATGATCCTGTCGTGATGTACTATAATCCGAGCCCAATCGCCTCACGCGTTTTCGAGCAATTAAAATCCGAAATTCGGTTTTCTTAGGGTACCAACTTGTGGAAATTCGGATTTTACCCGAATTGGTCTCTCTTATCTGAGTGGTGCATGAGTAGCCACTACATATGTTTGTTATCACAGGGTCATGGCTACAAAATGAAAGTATTCCGAGCCCAATGGCCTCACGCGTTTTCGAGCAATTAAAATCCGAAATTCGGTTTTCTTAGGGTACCAACTTATGGGAAATTCGTGTATTCCCCGAATTATTTCGCTCTTATCTGATTGGTGCATGAGTAGCCACTACATACGTTTGTTAGCAAAGGGTCATGGTTACCAAATGAGGGTATTTCGAACCTAATCCCCTCACGCGTTTTCGAGCAATTAAAATCCGAAATTCGGTTTTCTTAGGGTACCAACTTGTGGAAATTCACATTTTTCCCGAATTTGTCTCTTATCTGAGTGGTGCATGAGTAGCCACTACATACGTCTGTTAGCACAGGGTCATGGTTACCAAATGAGGGTATTTCGAGCCTAATCTCCTCACGCGTTTTCGAGCAATTAAAATCCGAAATTCGGTTTTCTTAGGGTACCAACTTGTGGAAATTCGGATTTTACCCGAATTTGTCTCTTATCTGAGTGGTGCATGAGTAGCCACTACATACGTTTGTTAGCATAGGGTCATGGCTACAAAATGAGGGTATTCCGAGCCCAATGGCCTCACGCGGTTTCGAGCAATTAAAATCCGAAATTCGGTTTTCTTAGGGTACAAGTCATGTGTTTTCAGTAAAAATGGACTGACTATTTCATTCGATTTCGTATGCTTATAATAGCATTGCTACGTTGATTGAATCTAAGATTTAATTTATTACTGGCAACTTGTTTGTTGATTAATTATTGGTGTGACTGCAATGTTTGTATGACAAAGGTAGTTTATATGTAAATACGAGGCAAAGTTGGTTACGGTAATAATTAAATTTGTATATGCACGAGTGTATTTGTATATAGAGCTGTGGTGTCGTTCTGGCTTCACAAGTTGAGTATCGAGTCCTAGAACCTCGAAAGTATTTGTGTTGATGTATGTTCATAACACTTAATTAGCTCGATAATAGCCCAATGAGACCGAATCTCAAATTACCCCTTAAAATTGGGCGGGAAGGCCACAGGTTTGAATTGCTACAGTTCTGGAGCTGTAGGGAGCAAATCTCACGTTGCCCCAAATAGGCGGGATTTATGGGCGGGGAGGCCAACTTTTCGGATAAATTCGGCTTAGCCGGCTAACTTCATCCAACAAAAAAAAAAGGAGAGGCCAACTTCACACTAATCTCAACCGGCCCGGAACAACATTCAATCTCGAGGCGGTATTAATTCATTCACTCAAAACACGACACACAAATCAGCAGCTGACAAATGCAAAATAAATCTACTTAAATTAAATTTTACATTTCGCATACATAAAGTTAAATTTTCTCAATTAAGATATACATTTACTTAGCACGATGTCCTTCTCTTTCAACGAAATACGTGCGTAAGTCAGTGCGATTTAAACGGCTAATACACATAAATTTATACCACATTCATCCATAAATATTCCATCAAGTAAAGTTTACATTTTCAACTTCACATTATTCTACATTAAAGAACGTAAATATGAGCTAAGTCACGTCAAGTTTGTAACTGCTTAAAGTTTGCAAAATTACATGCATTTACAAACATTGCTAATAGACACATTTTGCAAGATTTACTTTCCTCCATAGTCCTTCTTCTCAACAGGAATTTTGCGAATGACAATTTTCTTCCCCTAAAAACCGAGGGCAATTATTCATCCCCAGAAGTAACGTCGTTCTGTTCTATCTGCGCCGAATCTGGGGCAAATCTGCGCCCTCTCGCCCACCAAGAAATGGAAATTCTGGCCAAATTCGTCCTAAATCAAGAGCAAATTTCTCTCATTTCACAAACTGAAGATCATCCGCCAATATTTTGTTGCAAAATTTGCTCCTCCGTGATCCTCTCGTTGGCCAAGTTGACCACGCAGATTGAAAATATCACAATTTCTCTCCGTGCCGTCATCTCCAGCAGGAACGGACTCTTCAATAAAGGGCGAAATGATTCCAAAATTTCCGGTAAATTATAATGTACTCAATCATTACTCGTGTTCAATTAAATTTCAATTAAATAATCATCACTTCATATTCACTTAATTTAGAATGGTCCCATGAAATCGCTGCTAACAACGTTTCCAATGCTTCTAACAATGACGTCGACCAACAATTAAATGAGGTGGAGGAAGAATTCACCGTAAAAGTAGAGCCAATCGAAGACGACGATGACGACCCTTGCAAAATCACGAGAGATCCTCTCTCCCTTGAATGTGAGGACTCCAACCTTGCAAATTCCGAATCAGCATATGTGTGCAAAATATGTCAACCTAATGTCCCATTCACCAAGAAGGACCACCTCGTCCGTCACCTCAAAAATAAAAATATTCATCCCGACGTGTCCCATGATGCTTTTCCAGGTCAGTTTTATAATATACTAGCGGATAAGCCCGTCTCCCGCCGGGCGCGCGGGAATCTAAGCTGGAAATGTCTGCAGGCAACAGAAGCGAAAGTTAAAAACAGAGGTTCTAATGGCACGAAAATTATAAACATATTAAATTCAAAAAATTAAATGTGTGATGTCCCATTATTAAATGGGATAAAATCCCAAATTAATCTCAGGATAACCATCAGACGTTTAAGTCATTATTTTACTTTAAGTTGTTTTGAACTTTCGCCCAATTCTAAACTTGACTTTCTTTACTTTCACTTCCGTTGCCGACAGACATTTCCAGGTTATCATATAGATTACGTGATCAAAATACCCGATTTTTCAAACTTTTTGATGTAGTCAAAATTTGCTTGACCACCTCCCCCCATCCATCACCAACTTTTTTTCATGGGGAATATGTATCGCTCGAAATTACCGATTTTTGTATTACTTAGGCTTGAAACCTTTGCTGTCAGGGAAGTTTGCGTGCAAATTATGTGGCACGAAATTCGCGAGAGATCAAGATCTCCTTCGACACTTGCGATACATCCCGATATTTCCGATGACGGTTCGGGTACGTTTTTTTTACCAGGTCACATTTTGCGAATACCCTGACGACAACAAAAATTGTGATTTTCGCAAGTTTGCTAAATGTGTTGCGATGCGAAATTGGGTGTTGTCGTGAGTATGTCCAATGTAATTTTTTGTAATTCCTAACTTAAATTTCCTTCTATAGCCGCATCAAAAGGAACAGAGCGGTAAGTATAAATTTCTGCCAACATCCTGAAAGGGGCCGTTCATAAATTATGTGACGTGAGGGGGGTCTCTGATATCGTGCCCGTGCAGCAGGGAGAAGAGAAGTGGGGTCTATAAAATCGCAAATTTTCTCTTACATAATTTATGAATAGCCCCCACCCCAGATTTTGCAGTCCTTATTGTTTTGACGATTCGAATTAATTAGGTATTTAGCCTTCATTACCCCGTAAACTTAGACAAACTAAAGGTACATTTAATGTATACTTTAGTCCTTCATAACGTGCGCCATAGTTAAATTAGCTTGGTCTTTACAGTCGTCATTCCTGCCCAGAGCTTTTTAATTAGCCACATTTCTAATTAGTTAGTAGTTAATAATTAGAGGGAAAATATTTTGTTTGAGGAATTAGTACTTAAATTCAGGTTGTTAATGAAGTCAATTAGTTAGCTAATTCATTAGAGCATCGATCAATTAATTGGTAATTTTTAGTGATTTTCTAATTAATTCTTCGTTAAAACTAGCTTCGGTATGTTGTACCAGTTAAGGTTAATTAGTAATTAATAATTAGTTTAAACATGCTATTTAATTAGATAATTAATTAGATTCACTAATTAATTAGAAAGCCCTGTTCCTGTCCCACGTGTGGGAAAACCTTTGCCACATCAGCAAACCAGCAGCGTCACGTGGAACTGATCCATTTCCCGGACAAGACGTCCTGTCCGTACGGATGCGAAACCCAGATTGACTCGGAGGCTGACTGGGTGACGCATTTGGAGGGGTGTGACTCCCCAAAAATGGTAATCAATCAGATTTATTAAAAATTTTTATGTACCTTTCGAATTTTATTTTTTTAATTATCCTCTTTCATACCATTAATTTGTAAGAAAATTTCCCTTCGGTGCGATGTTGATTTCATAATTACACTTGATAATATCCAAGTAAAATTTTCAACCAGTCTCCAATTTTTTGAGGAAAAACACGAAAAATCTACCTTTTACAATTGGTCGGTAAACGTAAAATTCCAAAATTTTAGAAAAAAATACCACACAAAGCTCATTTTTCACCATCGAGCTTTCCATAAAATATCGAAGAAATGCATATGCTTAAATTAATTTAATCTAATTATCTTTACTTTTCTTTATTTTGCTACACAAATATGTGCAAATATGTATTTCGATTGGTAGTCAAGTGATAAAAAACCGTTACACAAATATGTGTAATTCCCGAAATATTCCGAAAATTATCTGGCAGCAAGGAGGTTGAATGGTTATTTCTCTACCCGAATCGTGGCCCATTTGCATTATCTGGTTTTTCCTAGAGAACAGAATCGCAATCGGTTTGCCCATATTGCCCCCGCGTATTTCGTAACGTTTTCCTCAAGATGGAACATCGCCTGCGCATCCATCCCGCAAACACGTACTCGTGTTCCACCTGTGGGCGAATATTTACCCGCAAAGCTGTCCTGGATCATCACCTTTGCACCATAACGTCGGAAATTAACCATTTAAATTCCAAAGCCGAGTCAAAATACGTGTGCACCTTCTGCACACCAAATGTCACTTTTTCCGCGGCCAAGAACTACATGGTGCACATGCGAAACAAGAATATTCACCCGGACATTGCCGCTGCTCATGTTTCCGGTAAGTTTTTTTGATGACGCTGTTTCATTTTTCATGAAAAACAAGGGAATTAAAGGACTGTTCATAAAAAATCAATATATTATTCAACTCATTTAGAGTCCAAAAAATTTTCCTGCAAAATATGTGGTGTAAAATTCTCGAGAAAGTCTTATCTCGTGCGGCACATGAAGAACACAAATTTACATCCAGACGCTTCCGATCCTAACAAAATTTCAGGTTAGTACTAAATATTATGAAAAATTTGGCCTAAACAAACCCACCTTAATTTTTAATTTTGTTCCATAGCCGGATTTACGAGCAAGACAGGGTGAGTGGGTGAAAATTTCATATTATTTGAAAAAATACAAAAAATCTTACAGGTTATCTGGCACAGGTTGTTTAAAAAAATCTTATTTAGAAAAACTTAACCACTCTTGTCTCTACTTTTACTTGATTCGGAACAATTTTTGCAATTGGCTTGTCAAAGTTGCACCCTTTTCTAAAATTTAATTCGTCCTCGCTATTTACATATTTCAGAAATATAATTAAGAAACTTTGTGACAATGTCTGTTTAAAAAATTAGACCAAAACCAAAAAATTAAAATTTCCACATTTTTTTCCACAGACCCACACCATCAGAAATTAATCCCTTTTGTCAAATCCGAACAACGTTTCACATCTCACGTTAATCGGATTACGCGGAAATGCACCCGTTGTCCGAGACTCTTTACGAGCGCGGTAGTCCTGCAAAAGCACATTACGCAATGTCACCAGGCGCCAAAAGCAAGGGAATCACATGCTTGTGACATGTGCTCGAAAACATTTTCCAGAAAGTGGAACTTCCATCTGCACGTGGAGTTAACCCATTTTTCCGACAAGACGTCCTGTCCGTACGGATGTGAAATCAAGATTGACTCGGAGGCTGACTGGGTAACGCATTTGGAGGGGTGTGACTCCCCAAAAATGGTGAGGAATTAATATTTTGAAAAATCTCTGCACTTATAAAAATAATGTTCGAAAAGTAAATGCAATCTTTATCCTATGCATACCTGTTCACTTTAATTCATCTCACGGATTATGATAGAACATGGTAATGAATGAAAATGAATTTCTTGTAATTTAAATGAAAATGTGTGAAAGATTCTGTCATTCCAAATGAGTGACCATGAATGAAAGGATTTCTCGCTCCTCTCATTTTTGACCCTATGTAATATGTATGCTTGATTCGTGGGGCGAAGTAAGAAATGAAATCAGATGTAGTGAAATGAATTCGAAAGAAAATGACTGAATGTAAATGAAAATCTTCAGTCAGAAATCGGAGACTGAATTTTGAATGATTTTTTTTAAACTTTACTCATTAACGTTACTCTCGATTCAGTTTACATGACCTACATAGAATTAAGACTGCATTTAATTTCAGATGTGGAGTGACATAATTTTTTAAAGAGTGCGGATTTGTTTCATTTCATTTAGAATACAGAATCGGATAACGTCTGCAAATTTTGCTACGCCGTATTCCGCAACCCTCTTCTCCGCTTGGAACACCACGTGCGCCAACATCCCGACAAGGCTTACTTTTGTTCCATTTGTGGGACTGGACTTACACGCCAATCCGCCCTTCAGAAGCATGCAGATATTTGTAAATATTTGTAAAAGTACTAATTGTAACACCTTCTTGTAAACAATAAAACCAACTGGTAATAAATATATTAGCTCTGTATGGAGATAATTTAACACCAAGTCGGTGAAACTTTATATTTAGTCGGTGACAATTGTAACCACTCGATGACAAATTTATAACCACGGCGGTAGAGTCATATACCTTTACTTTTTGGTTAGTAACCCCGTTTCGAAGTGTGTAGATTTCATAAAGCGTGTCGATTTCATTCGTCCTGATCGATTTTTGTTGGGAATCTAACAAAAATTGATGTGAAAAATTTTGTAGCTAAACAAAAGAGTTAATGGCATGATTAGTATAAATTTCTAAAAGACTAATTAATTAGCAATGCATCTCTGACACCACGTGTAAGAAATCGCATCATAGCATTTTATGAGGTTATCAATTACGAGTAATGCATTTACGTACACTCTTATAAATCCAGTACTAAAATAATACCAGGCGGTTTGCATATATGAGTCTATCAAAGTGGTATTGATAAATCTGTAATACCGTATAGTAATACCCTGGTATTAAAGTTTTTCAATATAAGTCTGCAAGTTTTGCGGACAGGTGTACATAATTTTAGTACCAAGCAGTGGCAACTTTAATACCGAAAAATCAATACCTGCGTGATTGATTACACCGGATTTCTAACAGTGTGTGTAAGTTTGTATATACATTGTGCGCTATTTACATACATACATGCGTACACACATACAAAAGCGATACAACAACGATATAGTTATATCCGAACATCATTTACATATATATGTATGTATGCATAGGCCACACTCTTAATAATCCGGTAAGGTCACGCAGGTAATGATTTTTCGGTAATAAATTTTGGAATAATATTTTACCAGGTAGTAAAAATTCGTTACCATGATGGTGAAACATTATTACCAAGCCATTACCACACGGTACAACTTATCATTACCACTTTGGTAGAGTCATATACTTGTGCTTTTCGGTAATGTTTATTACCAGATTATTTACAGTGCCGTTTATCTTCATCCATTTCCATGGAGTGGACACTGTCAAAATCGTCCTTCACTATCAACCCATACATTTGAGACGGCTCTCACTAATCTTTTTCTTAGGTGAAGCTATGGTGATCTAATGATTAAAAAACACCTAAGTATGCATTTACTACAACGTTCAAAACTGACAAAGCCACATTACTTTACCATTTCTTAACCGATTTTTGCAAAATAAGTGCCGAGAGTTAATTATGATGGTCTACTTTTGGATTCCAACTCTGGTCGGTTGTGAGTCTACACATTCCTGAGATATTCTCAAAAAACACCCTCCAAAAAGTGACGTTGCTATAGACGAAAAAATTGAGGACCTAAATCAAAAATGTACTGTGAAAAAAAGTTTCTAAATATTTTTAGCTTTTAATTAACCTTGAGATAATCAAAATCGGATAAGAAATTACCACGATATTCACGAATAAAGGTACCACTGCTCACGTGGTGGTATTGCTACACACTTAAAAATTGCATTTGCTTTTCGAAAAGCAACATTTTGATATGCTTCATCCACAGCAAAATGAGCCAAATATCAAGCAAATTCAGATGCTTAATTTTGAAGCAAATGAATTTTGGCTTTAGGCAAGGCAAAAGAGTTAAAGTGCTCTGCTTGAAGGTACATTTGCTTTTAATGCAACTCGGCTACTTTGGTTGAAGGAAAATGAGCTTCCAATGAAGCTGCTTTGGAAGGAGGAGTTTGTCCATCATCATGCACCGCCAAGCTACAATCTTAGTTTGTCGGTTGATCTCGCGTTCACTCTCCAATTCGTTAACTTTTATTTCTGAATATATAGTTGCGAATTTATAATAATTACTATTAAATAACAATCATCTTAAAAAAATTATCGAGATGGAGTTCAGTGAAGTGACACGAGTTTTAGAGGAGCTCGAGTTATCTCGTTATCTGGACAAATTTAAAGGTTTGCAAACATCAGTAATTTTTTCATTTCAATTTCACTATTGTAAATCGTTTATTTTTATAAATTTCAGAGAATCAAATAACCGATAGGTCTTTCGTCTTGCTGTCCAGAGATGACTTATCCGAAATTGTTCCAGTTCTTGGCCACCGCCTGCAAATACTATCAGCTATCGAGGCCTTAAAAAGTGGAAAGGTATTTCCGTGTTTCAAGTGTCGACTCGGTTTTGTTAGTTTTCAAAAATTGTTAGATCATTTAAAAGATATTCATAGACTAGCAGGAAATAGTATTTATAAATGCTTACATTGTGATAGTCAACTTGATAGAAAGAGCTATTTGAGACACATGAAAAATATTTATAAATTGCATCCTAATGTATTAAAAAAAATATAGCTTTGTTAATTTAGATCAGGTGGGTGAACTTGACCCAGTATCAACCACTGAAATTCCGAGTTTAAATGAAAGCTCAAAGAGTAAAAATACAAACGATATGAAGGATTTAAAGATTATTTTGTCTCAAATTTTAGCAAGTATTCTAAAGTCAGGCAAAGTACCGATGAGTACATGTGATCATATATTTAATAATATAAAAAGGTTTGCCAGGAAGTTATTATTATTGAGTAGTAATATTGCTCAAGACATTGTAAAAACAAATAAGCCTGAAAATGACAAAATTTCAACTATCTTTGAACAATTTTTAATTCTTATGACTGCTTTTAAACCGTTTGAGTCAAAATACAAATTGGATAAATTTATGCAGGAAAACAACTTTATGATCCAAGCGAAAGAAATTATTTTGGATTCAGATATTAGTTTCACACAAGCCAATTCAGGTACTAAGCAAATATACCGTTCAATTTCGATGCAATACGTCCCAATAGCAGATTCAATTAAACAATTACTTAATAAATCAGGATTTTATTCATCATTAGATCAGACAAGTTTTTACAATTCTGAATACTTCTCCTGTTTTAGGGAGGGTAAACATTCAAAATCGTTTACATTTCCTAAAAACACGATTTTTATAAACTTATACTATGATGAGGCTTAAGTGGCAAATCCTCTTGGGTCAAAAGCAGGAAAGCATAAACTTTCTAATTTTTATTTTTCAATTGTCGATAGTCCACGCCACACTCAAAGCAGCACGGATAATATAATATTATTAGCATGTCTAAAAACTGAAGATTTTAAAAGTTCAGGCGCAAATACTATTTCAAAAGTAATTGTCGATGAACTTAAAATATTATGGCGTGATGGAATTGATTTTTCGATTCGCAATCAAATAATCAATATTAAAGTATGCTTAGCGCAAATTTGTGGGGACAATTTAGGGCTCCATGGGTTACTTGGATTTGCTGAAGGTTTCACAGCTAATTTTCCTTGCAGATATTGCAAAATGCACAGAAATTTGTGTCAAACATCCTTTTTCCAGGATGAAAGTAAAATTAGAAAATTACGAATTATAATGAAGACATTTTAATTTGCGATTTGTCTAAAACTGGTATAAATTTTAACTCTGTTTTTAACGAATTGCCATATTTTCATGTTACAAGTAACTTTGTATTTGACATAATGCACGATTTATTGGAAGGGGTGGTGCCTGATTTTATGGTACACTTCCTAAATCGATGCATTTCAAAAAAGTATTTTACCCTAGATTCATTTAATTATAGATTGGAAAGTTTTAATTACGGTAGGCATTATAAAAATACAAAACCATCTTTAATTAAATATTCTCATCTGAAATCAGACAACAAAATTGGTCAGAATTCTTCTCAAAATCTCTGTTTAACTTTTTTTCTGGGACTTATGATAGGCGATAAGGTCCCAGAAAATGATGACGCTTGGAACTTGTACATTTTATTACAAGAAATTCTGGTCATTTTGCTGGCAGATAAAGTTACAAAAGGTGGAATAATTTATTTACAGTCACTGATTTCTGAGTATTATGTTAAGTATCAGAATTGTTTTTGTAAAACTTTGAAGCCCAAACATCATCATCTTCTTCATTATGGCGAAGCAATTGAAGGAATTGGCCCCTTAAAACAATATTGGAGCATGACATTTGAATCCAAGCATAAATTTTTTAAAACGGCGGCCCATGCGACTGGCAATTTCAGAAATATTTCAAAATCTTTGGCATATAAGCATCAATTAGCAAGGGCTTTTCATTTATTATCAATTGATGAATTTAATCCCTGTTCGTTTGAGGTAATTAATTATGAATCAATTTACATTTCTTAAGTAAATACGGTTCCATAATTAGTGAACATTTTAATCAAGATGCTGATAGCGAAATAAAAATTTCAGGCTTAGTTGTTTATAACGGCTGCGACTTTAGAACAGGCAGTTTAGTTTTAATTGAATATTGTTCGATCTGTCCTGTATTTGGTGAAATCCAACAAATTATTTTGGAAAATGATCAGTGTAATTTAGTTGTAAGCTTAGTAAATAGTAATTATGATGCTAGAAAATGTAGTTTTGAAATAGAGATTACAGATAATGCACAAATAATTGATATTAATTCTATCGCCTATTATCAACCTTTGTACCGTACGTCTTCTTTTTTATTTAATGATATAAAGCAATATGTAGTTTTACCTGTTAAATATGTATAAATTTGGTTATAAAATATTTAAACAAGTAGATAGCAGATAGTAAATATAAAATTATTATTATATAATAGCAGGACGGCGAATTAAATTCTCAAAAAGCGGAGATGAAAATTCGATCTTCAGTGCTTCATTATTAGATGCAAAAGAAATGGGTGAAAGGGGGCTTCTATGTGCAGAATTACTCAGAAAAAAAAGATTAAATGAAACCCCAAAACGGCAAAATATACGAAAGGTGCCGGTGAGTTTAATTAACGCATGTGTTATTTTCCTCATTAAAAATCATTTCATAAAACTTAAATTCATTTTTACAGAAATCTCTGCAATTTTATAGTGAGAATGATGATGGACATTTTGTACCAAGCACTTTTTCGGCTCCAGATGTCCAAAATATTAACGAAAATGTTGTATCCAATGTTAATTGCGATTCTCAACCTGGTGGATCTTCTCAACTGATTCATATTCAACTAATACAAGTAAATTAAATTTTCCCCACTTTATGTAGTAATGGATATTGATGTCAATTTATTTTTCGATTATTGTAGGCTCCAGCTGTGGAGGGCAACTTATTTTCAAACGTCATTTATGGCTTTGTAAGCTTTTAATTATATAAAATTTATGCTAAGGCTTGTTTTTTGTAACATTCATACTTTAACAGAATATTGACAAAGTTTTGATGGCTGATGAGACGGTGCGAAATATAATACTGTCGAAAATTCCTGCTGGAGAATTCATATTGCGGGCTGACCGACAAGCTATTGCTGGTATTCTCATTAATGCCATAATTCGATGCCTCGGAACATGGTAAATAACAATAAAATATCTGCAGTTAATTCCTTATTAATTTTTTACTTTTTTTCAGCCCTGGCAAGGCCGCAATGGAACAAGTTGCAAAGCATTTGGTATTAAAATATCCAAGTTTTGGTGATGTGCGACGCCAAGAAAGAGGATGGGAAATGTGGTTCTTCCATACTCCTTTTGCACCAGCAGCCACCGGATTTTTGGAAGAGCGACTAAAAAGCCAGAGGAAAAAAATAAACAAGAAAACTCCGACGAAAAATCTCCAAGTTGTTCTCTTCAACGAAAATTCACTTTCTTGGAACTCTGACGATGACGGTGAGAATATAAATTTCATTCATTTCCCATTTATTGCACTATTTATTTTGTATTTTATTCTTTGTAGACGAACCTGAACCTGATGAGAGGAAATTTGAGTACATGAGGCAAAATAAGGGAGTTGAAGTGATCAATATCATGAAAAACACCGTGTTCCAACGGCGCACTCTCATTCGGCGACACACTTCTCAACCCGGCACGCTTGATATCTCAGCATTACCGAAACTCTGCGAAATTTTGAGACCTCTTTTCGACACAGACAACATGGTAAAAACAGTAAAAACATTGTTAAAGAAATTATGTTTCCACACTTAGTTTTCCTTGTACTTTTTATGCAGATTGTACAAGATTTCAACATCCGTCACCCCACATTGTCTCTAATAATGTATGATCGCTGGCCCAAGGTGGCAAAGCTATTACTAGAATATGCAGAAAAAAGTGGAATCAATTACGGGAAAAAACTCGGGATTTCAAAGAATCGATATGATTTTACAAATGGTGATTAATTAATTTTGATGTCGAAAGAAATAATGAGTGTTTTCTTATTTACATTGCTGTATCTTGATTTTATATATTTTAGATGATACTTATTTAGTGGCCTACTCTCTCCTTCCATTCATTTTGCCGTCTACAGGAAGACGACTAAAATGTGACTCTCAGGATGGCCATGACTCCGACGACGAGGAAGCTGAAGGCCCCCCTCCACCAAAGCGATCGCGAGGGAAACGACAGAGCAAAGGAAAAGCTTCGGATTTGGATACTTTGCAGAGCTTAATTATTTTTAAACCGGTAAATTTGAACTTGAAATTATATTTATTGTATGTTGATAATCAGGTATAATTGTTTATTTCTAGTAACTTTTTTAATTTACTTTTTAGAAATTAACTCATGTCGCCAAAGTAATCAAAGAAAATACCACGATGTCGCCTTTCATTTTGGCTCTGGGATCACCGTCGAACTTGGAGTTTGTCTCATTTTTCGTCATTTTTCAGAAAATCGCCATTCCTTGCGGGGAAAAATTTTTGAAGGCTTTCGACACGTGCTTTAAACTCTTTACCGTTTTGTACGTCCCTCTGCCATTGAAGTCATTGGATCTTTGGATGTTCATCGTTCATGGTGTTGGAGGTAAGCCGTGTTTACGGGATGAACTTCCACCCGTGGTTCAGTCACTAATCGGTCAAATTATGCCACGAGTTTAATTTCTAATTTCAATTAAATAATAAATGTTTAGAATATTCATTATTGTCGATTATAGATTTTAACAGAATGTTTACATATTTAAATATTTGTGTAATAATAAAAACAATAATTTGATGTATCAAACTTTTAATGAAGTAATTAGCACCTCATTTATAAGCAAAATTACCTTCATCCAAACTTTCCGCACACCTTTAACCAAAGCAAGCGCAACATTCAGCCTGAGGCATAAACTACTTCACGGAAAGGTGAAATATTACCCTGCATAAAGGTTGCGAGGAAGCTTTGCACGAAGCATAGAGTACTTCAGCCGAAGCAATGATGGATGCTTTTTCAGAGCAGTGCGCTAGTATGTATGCTTGATCTGGGTGAAGGGCACTTTTTACTTTGGCTCAAGCTGTTTTTTGCTTTATCTGAAGGGTTTTGTTTTTAGTGTGTAGAAATATTTAAACATTTTGGCCCAGTTGACCCTCATCCCACCCTTCCACAACAGCTGCATATTAAAATAACGGCACAGACATGCATACAAAAGTAATATTTTCCTCACAATGCAAGTCTTTTACGTGTACAACTCAGATCTGGTTGGGACAAATTTTATTTTGTTCACCACAAAAAATAAGCATACCCGTATTTTTTCATTTTTCATAATGCGCTAATTTGAGCGCGAGGCGCGAATTTTTAAACATTTTTCAGCCAAAATCTCGGTTTCTAAAAATTCCGCAAATTTTCGAATTTTAGCGCGAATCCAAAAATTCGAAAACATGTCTCTTCAGAATGATTTACTTGACTTATGAAAAATCCAATTGTCTCGAAATTTGAATTTCAAAATTTTTTGCCAGTTTTTGAACTTCATTAAAATTATAAACTCTTTCAAATTTTTACTTTTTCAAAAAATAATGTATTTGGATTTTTTATAAGTCAAGTAAATCAATATGAAGAGACATGTTTTCGAATTTTTGGATTCGCGCTAAAATTCGAAAATTTACGGAATTTTTAAAAACCGAGATTTTGGCTGAAAAATGTTTAAAAATTCGCACCTCGCGCTCAAATTAGCGCATTATGAAAAATGAAAAAATACGGGTATGCTTATTTTTTGTGGGGAACAAAATAAAATTGGTCCCAACCAGATCTGAGTTGTACACGTAAAAGACTTGCATTGTCAGTGAAAATTAGTGATTCTGTGAAATTCTTTAAAAATTAGTCCAGCTCAACATAAGTTCTCATAAATCGAACCATGAAAAACTGGGAGGTTTTCGTCATTACGAACGTGTTATCCTTTATCGGGTATAAAATCATATTTCCGTCAGAACCTGCAAAGAAAATGGAAGAAAGGTGTGAAACTAATTCGGCTTGTTTAATGAAAGCTGTCCAGCTATTTGAATCCTCCATCGACAATTCATTCCCTCCTTGTGAGGATTTTTACCAGGTATTTCTTACCTCAATATTTACTACATATGATGATGATAGCTGCTTTAAAAAGTACATATTTCTTCATTCAAAATTCATTCATTGGTATAATTAGAAAAAGTTTACATATTCAATAAGTTAAAATACATAAATATTGATTCATTCTTCATTTTATACTCGTCATGTGCACCCACGTGCATTAAGCTTAGGGTGAAAAATGAATAATGATTTAAAAACACGTTCATTCTTTTTGAATATAAGAAATATACATTCAATATTCATTTATGCAAAAATTTCAAAAAATTTGTTCACTAATAATTAATGAGATTTATTGAAAAATGAATTATTTATTTATTCATTGTACTCTACCGCATGGTAATTAACTTATTATTGAGTGGTAGAGAATTAGTTACCAATTAACTGGTACTATTTTCAAATTTTGCGACCGGGGTTATTACCGGTTTGGTAACAAAATGTTTACCACTCAATAATAAATTATCTACCATGCGGTAGAGTCACATAGATACTCCGCGTGGTAATAACTTTGTTACCGGGTTTCTTAGAGTGTACATATTTTAAAAATTATTCTAGTTCGCTTGCCATGGATGGATTAAAAGTAGAGTCGCCAAGTTAAAGGAGACAAAGGCCAAGTCAGCGTCTCGGACGTCGGATTTGATCAAAAGGAACGAACTCTCGATAAGAGCACTGTTAGGTAACCCTTATCTAGTCTTATCACTTGGTTGAATTATTCCCCATTTTTTCATTAGAATAGAACAATTAAAAAATTGTATGCATATATTTAATGTCAAAATTTTAAGTTTCCCATCGATGCAGGTTTTAAATTTGAATTCTCGTGTCTCAACTTTCCCTTTCTCCACGTATTCAAATGGAGCTTTGATACCTGTTCATGTCCTTCTGTTTTCAACAAAATGAAGATTTTATTTCATCTATAAATAGATAATTTTTAAGTTGACAAAATTAGGGCGTTATAATTTTGATTTTCCAATTTCCTGAGCAACTGTTTATAATTTATTTATTATTTTTTTCATCTCTGCAAATTAAAAAAAAATTCAAAATGCTAACATCCGAATATTGTAAATGTACAAATTATGGATTTTTAGATGCAATAAAATCTTCATTTTGTTGATTTAAGAGGCAAATGATCAGGTTTCAAAATCGCCATTTGAATAAATTAAATAAGGGAAAGTTGAGACACGAAAATTCAAATTCAAAACCCCCAAGAAATTGAACATTAACAATCTACCGACAGAATCCATCCCAACCTGGAGTTCGGGCTCGGAAAGAAAATTGAAACAGTTTTACACCTCTTGTACCACAAATACGAGAGGGGAAGACGTCATAAATTATGAGGACGGACATGGGAGGGATTTCTCGGGAACATTTACCAATTGGCTTTCCGACGCTACTATAGTTTCTCCCGAACCAGGTTAGAGCAATTTCGAACACGAATGTCTATTTAATGGTGCCCCTCATGAATCCAATTGAATTGGCCTTAGTCGGGTTCACCGGGACTTGGCCTGAATCGGGTTGGCCCGGATTTGACCTGATTCACTCGCATCCGGATACAGCCTTAAACGAATCCAACTGATTTTTTTCTACCGGATTGGTAGCGGTTTATCTTTAATTTGTAAATTTATCACCGCCACAACATTACTAAACGGTAATGCCCGTTATTACCAGAGCCGATAAAGTCACATATGTTCTTCGATCAATACTAATTTAACACCGGTTTTATCATTGTAAGGTACATTAGCGAATTTTTAAAATACTTTCCTTGTTTTCTAGATAATCTCAAAAAAGAATTTTGCACTGGTCGAATCCGTACAAAATTTCCCCTCCTCGTGACTCGATTATTTCTGGAAAAAAATATGGAATCGATTTCAAACGCTGGCGAAATCTCGAATCAAGTCCTGCAAACTGTGAAGGATTCAATCAACTCCGCATCCGACTGGATTCCGACCCCAATTTCGCTCAATACCAGGATGGGATTCTTTTTGGGCTACAAACAATTCTTTTTGGGCTACAGCCGTTATCGATTTGTATTCCGGTCTATCCCTGGATTCGAACGATTTTCTAGAAAATTTGAAACAAGTCGATAAATTTAATAAAATCCTGGAATCAATTCCGTCCCTGGATGGCGCAATAACTTCGGCGCAATCAACCTTGCTGGCTAATGCGACCTACAGCTTAGTTCATGATTTTGTCGTCCTTTCACCCGGGGAGGTGCACGTGCCCCGATTTCATCCCGGGTTTTTGGACATGAATTAGGCCATGCTGTAATGACCTACTTCAATGGAATGAGGCTGGGTAAGTTTTGATTTAAAATGTTTTCTCTCGCATCAATAATGTTACATTTTTTAAAACTATGTAAATCCACTATGAAGAAGGGTGGATCAAATTATCAAATCGGGAACTAACATGGTTTTCGAATATTCTGAGTCTACAAATTTTTGCAAAAAAAAACGGGTTTTTCTTATTTCTGTTTCTCCAATTTTGATGAAACCCGTTTTGAATTAACGTTTTGACTCTTAGGAACGACAATTTTTGTTTTAAATATTTCATATCTTACAATTTAGGTCTCCCAACGTGAAATTTGCAAATGGAACTATCTGCCAATGCTCAAGTTTGGCGGAGATATTTGCATAAAAAGCGGGAAAAATTCTCAGCAAATTTGGAAAATGAAAAATTTGCCAGGCTTTGGGGTGCGTTTTCTCCTCTTTTATGCAAATATCTCTGCTAAACTTGAGCAATGGCAGATAGTGTCATTTGCAAATTTCATACTAATTATATTTGTGATCGATTGACACTAGTTTGGTCCAAATCTGTAAGCATATGTTGGGAGACCTCCATTGTTAGTTGTCCAAGTTTCTAGCCCAATTTGTGCCGTATTGTAGAAAACAAGACGAAAATTTTCATTCATGAGGAACCATCAGAATTCACCAAGCGTGTCTTTCAAGAAAAATGAGAATGTGTGGAAAGGCAGTACAACAGCTATGAAATTCAACTTCCCAACAACGAGAACATCCGTATCAATGGAACTTTCACCTTGAACGACAACGTGGCCGACATAATCGGGATTTAAATGGCGTTCAAATCCTGGATGGAGAATGACATGGACAAATCCCACAAAAAATTCCTACCCCCACAATTATCTCAGGAGGGGAGCTTGCGAGGTTGATAATAACAGATCTTGGTGCCCTTTGGATATGTGGTAGGGACCCATGAGTGTACTAAAACCCTGAAGTAGTTTGACTCCATGGCCACATTTGCGCCCGCCACACCCACTCAAAAATGCCCAAAAAACGCTTTCACTCGAGTTTTCACTCACTCAAATCCACGTCAAAAATCCAATTTTACTCGGATTTTGAAATTTCTTTCACCATTATACTCCCAGATAGTTGCTTTCTTCAATCCAATATCAAACTCAATTTTATTGATGATTATTTCGCAAACATAATTTGTTTTGTTGATGACTACAACAATGCTCATTCAGAATTTTAAATTTTAAAAATACTAAAAATTTCGAAAAAATTGAGTTTGATATTGGATTGAAGAAAGCAACTATCTGGGAGTATAATGGTGAAAGAAATTTCAAAATCCGAGTAAAATTGGATTTTTGGCGTGGATTTGAGTGAGTGAAAACTGGGGTGAAAGCGTTTTTTGGACATTTTTGAGTGGGTGTGGCGGGCGCAAATGTGGCCATGGAGTCAAACTACTTCAGGGTTTTAGTACACTCATGGGTCCCTACCACATATCCAAAGGGCACCAAGATCTGTTATTATCAACCTCGCAAGCTCCCCTCCTCAGTTTAGCAAGGAACAAATATTTTTCATATCTTGGGCACAAGTAAAAAATTTAAGTACTTAATTACGATTAACAATAAGTAAAATAAATTGACAAACTACCCCTTTAGAAATTATGTGTCCCTTCTAGCACAGCGGCGTAGCCAAGGGGGGGCTATGGGGGCTTGCGCCCCCCCCAGAGCCCGGAAAAAAAATAAAAAACTTAAAAAATTGCAATAAATTGCAAAAAAAATTAAAAAAAAATAAGTTACGTATAAAATATGCTACACATTAGGGGACTTACTATTATTATTACTGTTACTGTTATTACTTCGTACCCGTAGTATTTTTTGTCGAAAAATAAGTTAGGACAGCTGAGAGATTTTGCAAGCGTCGTAAAACTACTAAAAAAATCATGCTACAATATCTAGTGACCTTAAAAATTTATTCTATATAATTTTTATCGCTATGACCTTTTTCGACACCATGTGACCTAACCTGGCTAAAATTGCGCGATCGACTTGAAATTCAAAATTTAAGCGTTTTGTGACTTCAAAAATGTATTTCTATTTTATGTTTATCGCCGTGACCCTTTTTCGACCTAATTCATAAACTGAACCTTTCTGTTTGCAACTTTACTCCATGAATTAGGTCGAAAAAGGGTCACGGGGATAAACATAAAATAGAAATACATTTTTGAAGTCACAAAACGCTTAAATTTTGAATTTCAAGTCGATCGCACGATTTTAAATTGTTTACGTTTTGGGTCAGCTTTTGAGTAGCCCTAAAGAGAAAAAGTGGTTCAGGGAGGTGGCTTATGCATGGCTAGTTGTTCTGCCTGATTGTAAGCTCACGGTTTTTATGAAGCTTGATGCTTCGTTTTTTTTATTTCTATGCTATTTTACGATACTAAGGATGCGAAGAGAAATTTGGATACCGGTTTTTGATATGAGGTGTGTGTAGGGTATTTAAATAATTCGTCGTTGAATTTTTCGTTCAAATGTTCGTCACTTTTTCAGTAAAAAATATTGTAAGCTTCGTCGCCAAGATTTCTATGAGACATGCAAAGGGTGTAAATCTACATAATCCGGTAACATTATTCACTGTAAAGAAAAAGTTTATTTTTCGAAACTGCAGGTATTACTCCCTTTCATAATTTGGACAAGAACTTTAAGTTACTAAAACTAACTAGTTGAAGTCAGTATGCCATGAAATTTGAGAACAGTTAGTCTTTTTCTGGTAGGTGAGACAATTTTGGACTAGTGGTGAGCCAAATGCTCAGTTGAACCGAGCTTGTTCCTGCTGGGTGATCCCGAGTTTAATTGAGCTTGAGCTAGCTGAGGTTTTCCTGAGTCGAGCTACGAGCCAGGCTTCTTTTGGGTCGAACCGAACTTTCCAAGAGCTCGTTGTTTTATAAAATTTCAAGTGGGGTGAAGTATAAAATTTGTACCCGTGTAGTTCAAACTACTCTTCCCCTCTTCACCTTAATATTTAACCTGTTTACACGAAAACTGAATAATCTAGCGTGTAAAATATTTCCTTCATCTGCAAACCATTTGTTTAAAATTTATTTCTGGGCTGTTGTTAAAGTTGGAGTTAAATAGTTATATGTCCAGCAGGAAACCCAAAGTTCTTAATGTACTACTTAATTACCTCAATACAACGATAAATATTCACGTTGAATTTATTTAGGGTATGGAGTATATCACAAGAAACCCTCAAGTTAGCAGCGCTTGATCAAGCTCGGCTTGGTTCAACTAAGCTGAACGAGCCAAGATTTTCTCAAGTCAAGCTTTAACGAGCCGAGCTTGTTCGAGTTTTTCCTGCGTCGAGCTTGTTTTGAGATTTTGCGATCCGAGCTTTTGAAAACCGCTGCTCGACGCATCTCTATTTTGAATTGTGCAGGTCATTTTACACCCTTGGAAAAATTATTCTTCATGCATTGCTACGAACTTTTTCTGGCGCATCCGAATTTTGAGTGATTTTAATTTTTAATTAACATTTCCCGCTTCTAGGACCTGCATCTCAAGGCTTTGGTGATTTTAATTAGAATTTATCTTCATTCTACCCATGGTAAAAATGTCAACGAAAAACATTAACGGGATTAATAGTTATAACTGATATTGTCTCTAGCGGAAGCCAAAAATGAATGTTATCTGAATAAATTTACACCCTCTATATTAGTCCTTAATCTTTGGATCAATTATTCCGATCATGCTCTAAGCCCTTTGTTGATGACCTTTGGCAATTTTTTCTCAAGTAGAGACTGGTTTGATATTTGAATAATCTTTAAAATTTTATTATTAAGGCGTTCATGATGCCCGGATTTTTTCGTACAATTTTTCTATTAATGCAAGTTGTGAATTAAAATTGGATAGCAAACTGTTGTGCAGCACAACAGGTTTGCTATCCAAGGAACACAAGGTTTATTTTTTAACTGGTCACTACCGCTTGAGGTGTCACGCTTTGCGTGAAAGCCACTTGGTACACCACTTTAGCCCAAATTTGCAGACCCTCGTTAATGTTTGCTCCGATTTTTTTGTCATAAGAAAACCACTGGGATGAATTATCTAGATACACCATATTTCCTACAGATAAAATACATGTTTGAGGAGTTGGTTGGTCAGGCAGTGTATATGGCATGCTAAAGCTAGCGGTTTGTAATACTTAAAGATATGTGTAACTATGTATCCATTCCCTATGTTAAAACGGTGTGAGTGAGTGAACGTAGAAATTTTAAGCCTAAAAAGGGTAATCCAATTTTTTTTGGCTGGGCCCCCCCCCCAAGGCCCAATCCTGGCTACGCCGCTGTTCTAGCAGTTAATGGATCTCTAAATTCTATTTATATTTACATATGTGCATATTTAGGAATGGTGTCAAGCATTTAGGGATGATGCGGTGGAAACAATCCTGTTCAGGGATCAAGCACAAACAGATGAACACAGCCCCGCATCGATCCGAGTTTTAGGGACGCTAAGCAACTTTAAAGAGTTTTCGGACGCATTTCTCTGCCCACGCGAGACCAGGTACAATCCAAGTGAGAAGTGTCGGTTCTTTTAAGTTTGCCATATTTGTTGATTTAAAAAATAGATACATAAATGCATATATGTAGCCGTACAAATATACATAAACACGTTATTACTTAATTTTGCTAGATTTGTGTACACATATACATATTTGTAATGTTCAGGACCATTTATGTATGTATCGATGTGCAATAAATATAAATATGTACCTCACATTTTGTTGATTTTCCTATCAACGGGCCTAGTTCGTCTCAACGGTTCAAAGTTTTCAAAACGTTTTTAGTTTTGAAAATATGTGACGAATTGAAAAAAACGGCTTAAATTCAAAATGCATAATACTTAATTATAGCATGCAGCAAATAATTTTTTAGAAAAAATGATTTTTAATAGATGAACCATAGCTAAATTATTTAATACAAGTGTATTTGTTTATTTGGCGTAAAAATCATTCAATTCTGTGCCTGGAATTAGGAAAATTGGATGATTTTTTACTCCAAAATATAATAAATTATACTCGTATTAAATAATTTAGGTAGTGTAAATCGGCGATGGATTCCAACTCTCTCAGCAGAACAAACAGTGCTAATACAATATGCGTGCCATTTTGTACAAATATGTACGGTTTGAATACACCGTCACATTCGTACAAGGATACATCTTCATATTTAAATACAAGGGGTTTGTGACTTACAAGCATTATAATCGGGCCAGTGCGTAGTAAGTAATATGAACTTATCATCCTATGCTTACCACGACTACCAAAATCTTAGTGCACTCTAAATAAAAGTTGTGCCAAATTTGCCCAATGCTGAGTGAAAAAACAGGATGACACAACAATCGGATCAAATTTGCGCAATTGTAGAAAACATTTGACACAAGTTGGGCAAATTTTACCTTCTTATTCGTGTCATCGATGACACGAATGTAAAAAAAGACGATCGTCTTTTTTTACCCAACTTTACGCAAATTTAGCACAAATTTTATTTAGAGTGTATAAAGTTTTCTCGACTTGCATACAAACTTATAGGAAAGAGAGATATCTCTTCCCACTCTGATACATATCACCATGGAGCAGAATGTCACCAGGTCCAGGCCCCGTTCTAGGCAATGTGGCGCCCTAGGCAAAAAAATAATGGCGCCCCTACGTCCTCACACTGCTGACGCTCGAAAACCCTTTTACTTGAGCTTACTACATATAATCGTACACAAAATTGCACTTTGCACTAATTACATTTACACAAATCATCATTTTTTATATAAGTTTAATAAAATATTTTTAATTCCTAAAAAAATAATTGAATATTAATATGGCACAGAAGCCTCATTAAGATTTATCATTTTTTTTAGCTTTGCATATTCAAAATTAAAATCGCACTAACAATGGTGGGGTGTAACATGCTTATCTCCGAGGTTGGCGTGACTCATAATGAGGTATGAAATGATTTTTGCCGATATCGACCGGACAAATTTCAAATTGTTCACGCTCAAAAATAAGTGGACGCTCAAAAATAAGAGGAATTTTTTAAAATTTTAAAAATTTGATATTTTTGTGCCACTTCTGAATTTTATAAAATGCTAAAAAATTGTTTTTTATGAATTTTTATAATTTCAGGGAAGTTATTCTGAGCAAAAATTGTGTTTCACTTTTGAAATCGGGTTAAAATTCGAAAAGTGACAGCGTTCTAAAAAATACAGATTTTTGCTGCATTTTTTTTTGAAAATTCCGCCACGGGTGTAAAAATGCCCATTCAGGAAAACGCAAAAATACGGGTCCACTTAATTTTGAGCGTGAAAAATTTAAAATTTGTCCGGTCGATATCGGCCATAACGACCTCACACCTCATTGTAAGCTTAAATTGCTCACACTCAGAAATAAGTAGAGTCTACTTAATCAATTTTCTACTTACTTATAAAATGTGTCTACTTAGTAGACACATTTTTTAGTTTTGTAGAATCTGCGGGATTACGAATGTGGCAGAATTTTAGACTAAAATTACACCCAATATACGGATTTTTCAAAACGCAGGCATTTTACCAATTTTACCCGATTTAAAAAATGCAGCACAATTTTGCTTCGAATTACTTTATGATAATCGAAATTATAAACAATATTTTTTTGTAATTTCACAAAGTTGATAATCTTTGAAGACGCAAATTGCTAATTTTGTTTAAATTACAAGTTTTTAAAAAACGGATTTTATAATTTCAGAGAAGCAATTCTAAGCAAAAGTTGTGCATCTTTTTTAAATCGGGTTAAAATTTGAAAAGTTAGAGAGTTTTAAAAAATTTATATTTTGCCTGCCAAATTATTAAAAAATTGGAAATAATTGCATTAAAGAAAACGCAAAAGTATAAATATGTGCTAATTTCCGAGCCTGAGCAATCTAAATTGTCCGCCCAAGATTGGAAGTAACCGCTTCACACTTCTGCATTGTAAGTGTTACGAAGAAATTGTAATTTATTATGTTAAATGGATAGTTTAGCTGGCAGGATTTTCAAGTTAAAATTTCTTAATAATAGTTACAAATAAAATTTTGTAGTACAGATTCAAGTGAAAGTCGATTTTTTAATCTATTTTCCACGACAAATTATAAAATTTCGCAAAGTTGTTTTTATCTAGTGTACAGGGGCGCCGGCTGGTGCCCCTCAAAAATCTGGCGCCCTAGGCGGTTGCCTAGCTCGCCTATACTTAAAACGGGGCCTGACCAGGTCATGAGGTTAATTGTATTTGAATGGATCGCGAATGTAAATAAGGGGACCTTCATAAATTATGTCACGCAAAGCTTTCGATTTTTTCTAGTCCAACTTCAAAATGTGTCTCATAAATGGGCACGATACAATGGCAGCCTTCAACCCACCATCCCCCCCCCTCCTTACTCGTTACATGCTTTATGAACGTCCCCGAACAACTTCATACGCACACAAATTTCTCGATTCCAGGCAAAACTTAATGCTGTTTATAACTTAAAACTTAATCATGTTACTGAGTAATATGATCACACTGCATAATCTTCGCATTTCTCAGTAATCATTCATGCCACGTTGCAAAAAGCTGCTGCCATTTTGGCAAATTGTTGGTCTGCACTTATCCTCGGATTTAATTAAAGAAACTTATCATCTTGCAAAGCCTTCCTTTAGCAGAAAAATAACTTGGAGAAAATTGCAACGCGTGTCACCTTTCGATTGGATGTAATTCAATAAAAATCAGGTATTTACATAATCGTATTATTCATCAAGTACATATGTGCAAAATGGGTAAACTCATTTCGTTTTGGGTGAAAAAATAATTTCTTTAGAGAGTAACAATAGGAGCTATCAGATTAATTTACATAATTGCACGCTTTTTAAGATAGTTAAGATAGATATATACAATGAAATAGTATTTTTTCGCCCTCGGACGATTTTCAAGTTTAATAGCTTAAAATTTTCGTAATTTTGTGTACATGAAGAATCTGTAATAATATTGGGGGCGTAGATTGGTGGTTTTCGAGATCTGAGCCAAAATGTGCGAATTTTTTGCAAATTTTGGATTTTGACTCAAACTAGTCCAACTTTTGGTCAAATATCGCGGGAAATAATTTTAAAAACTATTTTATACTAGAATTTGGCCGCTGCCTCAATTTCGGACCCCAATTTTCTTATATGTTGAATTTTGCAAAATGATTGCGTTTTCCGTATTAGTATGTCACGATCGAATTATGTAATGTTGGTTAGCATTTTAAGCTAATCCATAGGTCTGGTGATCTAGCGGAATCGCTAGATACAATCCGTACCTTATTCCCAATCGTTAAACCCACTGGGAATGTTGTTAGCAACCAGCTATAGCCTTAATTTTTGGGACCACATTTGTAACATTTTGTAACAAAATTTGAACGAAATCTAAATTAGAATATGAGTAATTAGTTTATGTTAATGTTACAACGGATTCCTGATATGTCCTGTTGCCAATTCATAATTTTGAAATTAATGTAAAATTTTGTTAACCACTCAGAATTTTGTTAACGCCGCGTGGACTTGTTTATAGTACAGACTGAAAATCAAAATTTTCTGTTTTTCAGATTATTGTGGAGCGCGATTCGAAATTTAAAAAGCTATAACATACGTACAGTAATTGTAACTCAATTTTTTATCTTTAGATAAGTTTGGAAATGCACGAATTAATTGTTCCATCAATTTAGCGACCGATCAGCAAGCTGACGTGGACGCATTCTTCTTAAGGATAAGTTGCATACATACATATGTACATAGTCCGACCATAAGTTCCCGTGAATGCATTTCCGGTGATAAAGCCCAAAGTATTAGAGCTATCTGATAGAAATTTTTGTGGATGAACAAGGTATTAATCTTGTTTAGAAATCATAACTTCGTTTTCACAATTTCCTCCACGGGCTTGTACACAAGACATAAGTCGTGGCGAAAACTGCTCGATCGCGGCACGCACGGATTTCCAGGGAAAAGCGCCAGATCTTCAGTAAGTGCGACCTTCCACACTTGGGTGAAATTTAGAGCATACTTGTACCTATAATTTTCACCACCAGTCATAATTTAGGGGATTAAGGTCTGCAGATACTGAGCACCGTTCTACGGATGAAAAAAAGTCATGAAAATTCGTCTGAAGCCAGTTTTGGACAATTTTGCACCTTGCGCAGGAACAGGGTCTTGTTGAAAGGTCCAATGTCGATTTTCGGAGGGTCCAGGGTTCAGGTTATTAACGTTTGGCTTTAGGACACTCTGAAAATAATTCTTGGCTTCAACTTGTACCCTTTGCGGTAAAAAACAGAGATTTCATTTCTCCAGCCAACTTGCTCCCATGCACACCACGGTGATGACTTCGTATTGACTTCCGCATACTTAAACGGATGTCAGACTTCTGTACAACAAATATCTGGCCTTTTTTTCTATTAAATTTTTTGCCAACGGTGAAAAGTCTGAAATACTTTTTGCACGAAAATTGGCGCGTACCACGATCAACCTGTGGCCGTCACGAGTTATGTCTTGTCTAATTGCCCGTGGACGAAATCTTGACAAAGAAGTTATGATTTCTAAACAATATTAATACCTTGTTAATCCATAAAAATTTCGAACAGATAGCTCTAATACTTTGGGATTTATTACCGGAAATGCATTCACGAGAACTTATGACCCCACTATGTATAGCTACTCCAAAGCGGGCTGGTATTTTACAATTGAAAACCCGATCAAACCAATTTTGGTAAGTACCTATTCGTCGTACTAATTGATAAAAGACCTAAGTGCAGTCGATGCTTTATTCAGAAAAGACCTAAGTGCACAGAAATAAGTAAAAGAAGACTTATGTGCAAGTATGTATTTACTTATGTCTATAGCTTGCCAAAACGATTTTTCATATATATGAGTAAGCAAATACATACTTATATAAATAAGTATAAATACATACATATAAATATAAATATAATATAAATATAAATATAAATACATACATATATGAATAAGTAAATACATACTTGCACATACATAGGTCTTTTTATTTTTTTCTGTACACTTAGGTCTTTTCTGAATTGAGCATCGACTGCACTTCGGTCGTTTCTTAATTAAACACCGACTGCACTTAGGAGGGGAGCTTGCGAGGTTGATAATAACAGATCTTGATGCCCTTTGGATATGTGGTAGTGTCCTATGAGTGTACTAAAACCCAGAAGTGGTTTGACTCCATGGCCACATTTACGCCCGCCACACCCACTCAAAAATGCCCAAAAAATGCTTTCAATCGAGTTTTCACTCACTCGAATCCACCCCAAAAATTCAATTTTACTCGGATTTTGAAATTTCTTTCACCATTACACTCCCAGATAGTTGCTTTCTTCAATCCAATATCAAACTCAATTGTTTAGAAATTTTTAGTTTTTTTAAAATATAAAATTCTGAATGAGCATTGTTGTAGTAATCAACAACGCAAATTATGCCAGCGATATAATCATCAGCAAAATTGAGTTTGATATTGGATTGAAGAAAGCAACTATCTGGGATTGTAATGGTGAAAGAAATTTCAAAATCCGAGTAAAATTGAATTTTTGGGGTGGATTCGAGTGAGTGAAAACTCGATTGAAAGCATTTTTTGGGCATTTTTGAGTGGGTGTGGCGGGCGTAAATGTGGCCATGGAGTCAAACCACTTCCGGGTTTTAGTACACTCATAGGACACTACCACATATGCGAAGGGCATCAAGATCTGTTATTATCAACCTCGCAAGCTCCCCTCCTTAGGTCTTTTATGATTTAGTGCGACGTATTGTTTTCGTGCATATTTAGCGATAAAACATTTATTAATAATTTCCTCTATGCATGTGAATAGATACTACGTACATAAATGGCTTCAAGGTCAAACCCGTCTTCAAAATGTCTGTATGAAGGGTGTGTTTTAAAATACTCCATTACACGTTACAAGGAGAGATATATTAAAATATGGGATTCCGAAATTATCTACTTTACCTCGAATCAAAAAAAGAAAAGGGCCGGCAACGATTTATTGAAACCATTCTCCTGATAGACGAAGCCAGCAAATACTGCATTCTTGCCGATGGAAAAACCCGTTACTACCTTAAGATTAATGATCAGCTCGTCCGCAAGGGTACGGATGAAATCTTCAGCATAGTTTTGAAACAATTCGAACGTGAGACAATTGTCGATACGGACGAAGATGGATATTGCCGCATGCTTTTGAAAAAATGCGAACAAGGGACTATGGATGTCAAGGATAGGGATGCATTTGTCAACATATTTTCGAATAAATGCATACTGTACTGTAGGGATGAACCTGGATTTTTTGCCATTCTTCTTAAAAAATGCTGTCAGGAACCTCTCGACGATAAGGATGCAGATGCACTGTTTCGCATCCTGTTGAAAAATTGCGAACTGGAGGACAAAACGTATTTACTTCGCAAAATTGAACATGAATGGTTAGCCATACTTTTAGAGAAAAGTAGACTGGGTACCATGGAAGACATAAAAAATTTGGAAGAACATGGCAAGCCAATTCCACTCTTGTCTTTCCCATCATTTCCGGCTGGTCTGAAGGCGCAAGATAAACCATCACATACCTCTATTTTCTGGGAACTTCTGAAAAAAGGGCTTCCTTTAAGTGGAAAAGCGGTGAGTTTGTTCATCCCAGTTTCCGATGTCGTGGTGAACGCGGCTGTACAAATGGGGGCGTTCTTTTTGCAACCGAACGACGTCATGGTTGCGATTAAAGAAGTGGAGGGCAAAATTGAACGGAAAAGAGTGTCTGACTGGATGGAGTTCATCAGCAAGGATGTCAAAACGATTACAGAAGAATTTCAGCAACTTGAGAACCCAACATTATCCGAGGAGTATAGGCGAAACACAGTAATGTCGTGCAAATTTAAACTGCACGAAATTTATAACGCTTTCACAAACATGAAGATTTATTACCTTAACAAGATGGTCTTCGCCCCCTACTTTGTCCAATTTGTGAGCTTTTACATCGACTTCTGTATTTGTTCTGTACTCATGGTACCCGAATTGAAGACCGAGCTGGTTCAAAAACTGGAAAACTTAAAGGAATATATAATCGAGTATAGGGAAACCGTCGTGTCGGAGCGGATTAAAGCAGTTAGGCACACGGGGGAAGACTTGGGCGCATTGCTTTCGGACGCTATTAAAGTGGTCGGAACCCTTAGAATTGCGACTAAATATGCATCAGAGCAAGTGATTGACAGCACGTATCATGGAAAAGATGGACTCGAAAGTCGGGAATTTTACGCTCGTATTGCGGTACACCATGAATACTATGATAGTGATGACGATGGGAAAAATCTGTACAACAACTACGTTGGCGAAATAAGAAAATTGTATGATGAATACTTTACCAAGCAAGTCAATCGTATAGAAGAGTTTCTGCTTCACGTACAGCTCAAATAACCACATAGCCAACGAAATCCACACAACGCTGTCAAACCGCCCAACCCGAGCAACCAGCTCAGCTTAAGTGATGTATAGCGATGCACGTATGTAAGAGAACATTGTCTTATATCTTTTTAATTGGTTTCGTTTCCATAATCTGATCTTTGGATTTGTGTATCTACATCAGCATGCTTAATAATGCGTATCTGAGCTAAAATTCCACCACTATGTAGGTAGCACAAATAGGTTGTAATTGATATCTAAATAAAACTCTTGTTAGAATTTTATTGACACCATGCGATGTAACTAATCGTAAGATTACAGGGAGATAATAAAAGCATGTATGAATCATACATGATGTATGTATAATCCAAGTTTTCATGCATTTACAGAAGGACTGTGCAAAAAGCATGTGAACAATTTAACTAGCTTAGGGGTCAAGGCATCTAATCCTTTTTGTGTTAATATGGGGCACGTAGGTTACACCTTGGGGTGAGGGTTAAATGCTCCAAAAATCGATTACAAACCTTATGCACTGCCCCATACTGATGACTAACCAAGACAAGAAAAATATATGTATTTATGTACATATTTATGCATAAGTAAAATTTCAAAATATAAGCAAACATTTAAAAGTGAGATGTCTATTTTAACTTATACATTTTCGAAAACGTTGACAGGGTCATCCGTACAGTACGTCATCAAAACTTTTCGATGTTAGCAACCACTCACCCAACGTATACCTTAGGGGATATGAAATTTTAACATGTGAAAGCTAAAACAACCTAAACCATCCACCCACTATAACGATGACGTAAAATATGGACGTTCCCCGAGCTTGTGGACAATTACATGGCACTACAAATGAGGGCATAAACCATTTTCAACCCAAATTATTTTTTACCAGCTTAGTTTGAGCGATCATAGCGCCCTGAATTTGTGCAAGTGTCGGACCAATCCGTTTTCAAAAGGGTTGCTCCTTTCAACGAAAAAATTAACTGGGTTGAACAGGGACTCCACTCCAATTGTTAGATCTGCTTGAAAACTGTAACTTGTGAGTAATCCATACAAATATTTTCATCGCGTTTGACATAAAGAACAAATTATGAAATTAAGTACATATGTACACATTTGTAAAGTAAGTCATGTGCATACATATGAATCAGTGTGCATGCATATACAGTATAGGCGGAAAGTCTTTCCACCCCATACTTTTTTCACTCAAAGCGTTATATTGCTTGAGAAGCTTGAGGGCATGAACTGTAATTTTGCACAATTACTTACCATGATGCAAGGTCTTCAGAACCATACTTTGGATAACGGTGTGGCACAGGAAACGACACAGTGAAATTACAACCAAAATTTGAATAGGAAAAAATTCTTTCCACCCAGATTAAAGTTTAATGCAATGTTTAGCTTAAAATTTTGCTTGTTAAGTAACATTCAAATTAACATTTGATACGTCAACTGTGATGCTTTGGGAAGCTAATGACACTTATTCGCATCGATTAAATAAATGAACTGGTGAGAGATGTGACTGAATCCTACAATTCAAGTTGTATGGCGTCGTCGAGGTCTTTCAGATTTGATAGCTTCCGCTGACAAATTTTGGGCTGCACAATTGACTGTAAATTTTCACTAACATTATGTCGGGTGATTGTAGAGGGCAATTCAACTGTCCAATCTTCTTGGTTGTAAACCAGTTCTTCAATAATTTTGATGTGTACTTAAGATGATCATCGAATTTGAAAATAAAATTGTTGCTCCAACGCTAATTTCTTTCCTTCCCTATCAATTACAATCTAGAATGTCGCAATGCTAGCTGGGGTTAATGATTACTGCAATGGTCTCTAAATATCTGGCCCCCGTCCACGAAATACACGCCTAACCAATTAGATTTCAAGCCCCATGTTTAATGTTTGGCGTACAGTACTTGGTTTTGCCGGCATTTCATGGTCGTAACCAGACCCGAACGGCCCAACTTGCACCAAACAGGTTGATTTTGGTCTCGTCGCTCCAGATCATGCGTTTCAAGACTTTCGTGGTCCAACTTAGCTAGTTTTGAGCCCATTTCAGACCCCTACCAATATGGGCCTAGGAGGCAAATGACTTTTTCCGCACAGTTTGGTGGTAACTTCTGCTTCTTGGGTCCCATTCTTTAAAGTTTGCACAGAAACTTGAAAAACATATTCTTCCCTCATTCCAGGTTGATTTTTAGCGTAGGTAACCGAAAAAGTCGCCGGCTATTGGAGTAGACGGCGTGACACATCCACGGGGGTGTGATCGTTAGCCGTCAAGAAGCAGGTAAATTCTTCACGATCCCTAATTTTTTGGGCTTCCGGTCTATTCTGGCAATTGTGTCATTCTTCATGAGCAGTTTATCAGAACTTCTTTAGTGTCGAAGCACATTATCATGAAATTTTACGACATTTTGCCCCCGGTTGGAGCATAGGCATTTTCTGGCTATTATGAGCTAATGTTGACAACAAGCAATAAGTTGGACATTGTTCAAATGGTATTTTACAAAGAACGATATGTAGCCTGGTGGACGGAACACAATTTTCGAGAATATTTTTAAGAACTACACAAAAACAACGAAAAAGTCAGAAGGTGGAAAGACTTTTTTCCTGTTCGAATTTTGGATATAACTTCACCCTGTCGTTGTTTGTGCCACTCCGCTATCCAAAGTATGGTTCTGAAAACCTTGGATCATGATAAGTAATTGTGCAAAATTACAGTTCATCACTTCATGCTTCTCGAGCAATATAACGCTTTACGTGAAAAAGAATGGGGGTGGAAAGACTTCCGCCTATACTGTAGGTACATATCGACCCAGGGTTTAATTGGCTTTTTGGGTTTTTAATGTTGTAAATGAATAAAAGACATTGGTTTTTACCACTAGCATTTTAGTGCGTCATCAAAATTCAGTTAATTTGTAATAATAATAGTGGTAATTAAGTAGATACATACATAACAGCCATAATTTTGAAATACTAAAAAATACTGAATAAATCAACACCATCGGTTGATATAAAAAAGTATAATTTTGGAACAGAGACAAATTTTAATAACGCCCTTATACTAATTACGTAATCGAAAATGTAGACAGGTCTTTTTGAGTAGCCTACACTTATATACTTTTGATAAGCTTATTAGGATAATGAAGTTTTGTGTCAAAAAAATACGCATTTTTTTATAACGTAGAACATTAGTGTTCCCATTGGATAAGGAGAATTTGTAAATATGTAATTATTTTTGCTTGGATTTGTAACATTTTTGTTGAATTTATATTTGCTAAAAAACCTCAAAGTTTCAGGCTGAAACCACTGGATTGTTATTTAAAAAAAATAGAACCCTGCGTGTTTATGAACCCTAAAGTAATATTTGCACTTTAATCTTTCTTTACGATGTGAGCACTGTCAAAGTCAAGGCATGTATAATCTTAAAGCATTCCACGAATCGTGGTGACTCACGCTACCTCCTTAACGTACATATGTACGTAGGACTGGGTGACTCATCTCTAAAATTGTAAAAAATATATAAGCACATTTTAATTAAGATCAGACCACTTAATCAGATCAATTTTAAATCTTTTTAAATTTATTTCTACATAGCTCTGGAAATTTGGTGTAAGATTCAGGACACCAAATTTGTATGGAAGGAAGTTTTCAATTTTTTGGAATTTAAACTATATATTTTGACACTTTTTGAAGGACGAGATCTCAACCTTAGAAAAATTGAGGTTAATCGAAACTCGGTCAAAAACTCAGCTTAATTCTATTACACAATTTACTGAATTAAGACTTATCTTTCACAAATTTAAAATCAATTTCCAGAGCTAAGGAAACCTAAATTAAAAATTATCTAAAATTGATCTGATCTTATAAAAAATGTGCTTATTTTTTAAAATTTTAAAGATGACTTAACGAGTCCTATCAATCAATTCCCAGAGCGGAGAAATAATTAATATGTAATGTGTTGATTTTGACCATTTTAGAGATGAGTCATTCATTCGTTGATAAAAAGGTTGCCCATTCAATACCAAAATAAATATGGTACGTATTTTTAAATTCTTTTGCATATGCAATACGTCCCAAAAGGGTCTAATTTTAACGCACAGACCATAATTGTGTACGCATTTGTCCAACAAATAAAAAGAAACGTCTTCAAACATTTAGTCCCAGTTGACGCTGACCCAGCCCAAGCTTAACACCTCTGAAGATAAGGACAGAAAAGTTATAATTTCCTCAAAGCTACATAAATGCACGCTTAATTCTTCAAATCACGTAATTTTTTTGTTTCGATTCAAACGAATTTTTAGAATTTTAACACTAAAAATTAAGCTATAAATTGTCGTAAAAATTCAAACCTAAAAATCAATTTAAATCACCCTAAACCTGAAATATTAGCAAACTTTTACCATGAAAAATTGGAAATTATTCGTCCTTACTTCCGCTACTTTGTTATCGTTTGTGACCACGTATAAATTATTGTTCCTGTGCGACTCGGAGGAAATAATTGAGGGGACGGGTCAAACTAATTCGGCCTTTTTGGAAAACGCAATCCTGTTTTTTGAATCGTCCATCGATGAATCTTTTCCACAATGCGAGGACTTTTACAAGGTATTTACATTTATCAATAGTTACAGGTCATCATATGCCTGTAGCTGTTCAAACAATATTACATAAGTCATTCAAAATTCATTCATTGAAAAAAAAATTCCCATTAGTTATTCATTTATTCAAAATTTGAAACTAAATATTCATTCACTACTCGCCATTAATTTTTCATTCATTTTATCTCTAATTAACTTCCCGTATTGAATAAATAGAAGGGTTTTGCAGTGTATACCGCATGCATCAAGTTAATGTCAAAAATGAATAGTGCTTCAAATTATTCATGCAGCAATAAATTAATATTTGGTAGTATTCATAACAATTTTGTAAATAAATTGCCTACTAAATACATAAAAACTGTAACCAGTAGTAAATACAAGTGTGACTTCGAGTTTAAGATTTCCTAAAAATAATATTTCCATACTTTTTGACACAGTACGCCTGCCAAGGCTGGTTTAAAGAGAGAGTGGCCACCTTAAAAGAGACCAAGGCCAAGGAGGCGACGCGAATATTCGATTGGACCAAGGAGAACCATCTCTCGATAAGTGCTCTGTTAGGTAAGTGCACATGTACAGAAATATGCTTATCAATAAAAACTTTGTAACTCCGCCAAATTGCATATTTCCCATATTTGCTAAAAAAAACTGATACAAATCCAAGTACAAAAGTTACATACATATTTAAATATTTTTTGGAATTTTTGTAAAGCGTGAAACACTAAAATCAATTCTTAAAAGTCATATATGTATGAAAATTATGTATGAAATTATGTATGAAAATTATTTATGAAAATAATGCGTTATCAAATTCCCATAATAAATACTAAATAAAACTAAGTAAAATTTACTCCAGGTAAAATTTATCCAACCAGTTTGCAAAATTAGTCTCAAGTTGTGCAAAATTTGTGTAACTAAATTTTACATTTTGCTTGTGTGATCCTCCTTTTTTATGCAACCCTGAGTAAATTTTACTTACAATGGAGGCGCAAACCATGTTCAGCCCAGATAATTTTTTGACCTTATTAGTTTGAAAGAACAAGTCTTTACAAACAACATTTGGTTCAGCACTTGGGCAGATGCGCAAATTTCAGCACGTTATGGGCGCCGCAAGTTCGCAAAAACGCATGATTTTTCGGGCAATGCCCAGCGCGAGCTCAACTTCGTGCGTTTTTGCGAACTTGCGGCGCCCATAACGTGCTGAAATTTGCGCATCTGCCCAAGTGCTGAGCCAAATGTTGTTTGTAAAGACTTGTTCTTTCAAACTAATAAGGTCAAAAAATTATCTGGGCTGAACATGGTTTGCGCCTCCATTGTTAGTTTTATTTAAAGTGTGAACCCACTATATTGCAATTGCAACGCCTATTTACATATTTACCCATAGATTCCATGCCAATCTCGAGCCCGGGCGCGGAAGGAAAATTGAAACAGTTTTACACTTCCTGTACCACAAATTGGAGATGGAAAGCTTTACGAAATTACCTCCAAAAACCAAATGATCCTCAGGAAAGGGATGTCTCAATTTACGATTGGCTCTACGACCGCCTCGTGTCACTCACAATAGGTTAGAAAAATTTCTGGTATAAACTTATTAAGATGAGCTATGTACAATGCTCATACCTTTTCAATTTTCTTCCTTCATTCTAAAATTCCTTCACTTCGAAATTCAATTGATTTATTCATTCAATGAATAAGCTACTCATTCATTCATTCGCCTCATGTATGAAACACAAATAGGTCAAAGAATGAGTGAATGAAAAATACACTCATTGGTCTTCAAATGTTGAATTATTCATTCATTCATTATTCATTCAATAAATTACTCACTAACGCGTTCATTCATTTCGGTATAATTGAATGAATGTGAACAGATATGGCAATGCTCGCTTTTACCGGGCCAGTTAGGCAATCATTTAATCCCAGGTTACATAGTTTATTTAAATATTTCACAGATCACGCTAAGCAAGAAGCCCTCTGCAGTTTACTAACCCACTCCAAATTTCCACTCCTTTCAGCAAAATTAGTTCGGGAAATGGACATCGAAACTATTTCCAGTGCTTCCGAAATTTCGAACCGCGTCCTTCAAACGGTTAAACAATCGGTCAAATCAGCCTCCGACTGGAGTCCAACCCCAATTTCTATGAATACCCGGATCGGATTCGGTTCCGATGCCTTGCTCGACCCGAACTATCTCAACAATTTGTACTCATATCTTCCCCTCGATTCAAACGATTTACTCGGAAATTTGGAAAAAGTCGATAAATTTAATAACTACCTGGAATCAGTGCCCGCCCTGGGGAACACGATAACCGCGGCGAAACAAACCCTACACTCAAAATAACCTGGTGTCAATCCAGCGCGGTGAAGTCACATATAGACACCGCGCGGTGTTAATTGCCCGCATTAACACCCCTTGGTGTCTATATGTGACAACACCGCACTGGATTGACACCAGGTTATTTTGAGTGTACTGGCGAATGCGAGCTACTACCCGGTCAATGATATGGTCGTCATTTCACCCGGGTTCGTGCACATGCCCCGATTTCATCCCGGATTCTGGGACGTCTTCAAATATTCCAAGTTAGGCGTTACCGTGGGACACGAGCTGGGTCACGCGGTAATAGCGTAGGTCATGCGGGGTAAGTGTTTAATTAAAAAGCGATAAAGGCTTGAAAATTATATAAATATGTTCCCCTTTTGAAAAATGGAGCCCACATTCTAAATTAAGGAAACCATCCGGACTAACAACGCGCTTTTGTGAAGTGTAACTCTGCGATTTGGCTGAAATTTTGAAATTATGTGGTCCATGTCAATACAACGAAAGTTTCTTGAGGCAGTTTGTGCGATGGTCGGAGTTTGGCAAAATATTTGAGGTCAAAGTAAAAAATTTGCAATTTTCAGATAGGAAAAAGAATGTAAGTTTAGTTTACTTCTCTCGCCTGGTAAAAATTGCCCATTTTTTTAACTTTGACTTCAAATACTTTGTCAAATTCATACCGTCGGACAAGCTGCCACAGGAAACTTTGGCTGTATTGACATGGATCACATAATTTCAAAATTTCAGCCAAATCGGAGGGTTACACTTCACACCATCGCATTGTAAGTTCAGCGTTAGGGAACATCCATAAATTATGTCAGGCAAAAATCGCGAATTTCAAAATCCCACATTCCCCGGTCAGCGATTCTTAGGTCAGCGAAACTGACCTAAGAAACTTCAGAGTTTCCAAATAAATTTACCAGATTTTTTTTATAATTTAGCCTTTTTAGATTATTGGTTCAGTTTTTGAGTGAAATAAGTATGTAAGAACTTCTCTAATTTGCTCACTTTACGAAACCGGTTTATTCCCTATTGCAGAAAATAAGACGGAAATATGCAATACTGCAAAACCTTCCGAAATCAAGAAGGACGTCTTTCAAGAAAAATTAGACTGTGTTTCAAAGCAGTATAGCGGCTATGAAATACAATTTCCGAACAAAGTCCGTGTCCGGATTAATGGAAATTTCACCTTGGAAGAAAATGTGGCCGACATAATCGGGATGGAAATGGCGTACAAATCTTGGGTGGAGAATGGCATGGATAAATCCCACGGAAAATTCCAATCCCCACAATCATCTCGATTTACCAAGGAGCAAATATTTTTCATATCCTGGGCACAGGTAAATGTGTATTTAGGATTTCTTAAATTATAATGAGCATAAAGATATCTTTGTAAACGACTCAAGAATAGTTTGGTCCAAATCTGTGAGCATACATTGGGCGACCTCCATTATTTGTCATTTTGATTCAACCGACAGGGAATTCATATTCATTCACTGTCAATCAATATCAGTCAAATGAATGGGAGTGAACAGCTATGTATGAGCTGGAGTACCTATTTCTAAAATATTTGTTTCTGTTTGAATGTATTTAGGAATGGTGCCAAGCGTTTGAATACGATGAAACGGAAATCATTCTGCTCAGTGATAAAGTAAAATATGATGTACACAGTCCCTCATCCATCCGAGTTTTAGGCACGTTAAGCAACTTCAAAGAATTTTCCGAAGCATTTCACTGCCCACGCGGGGCCAGGTACAATCCACGTGAGAAGTGTCGCTTCCTTTAAGTATGACACATTGATTCGTATGTATATTACTCAATTCAAACACGATTTCTTGACTAGTTAGTTACTTAAGATGAACTCTCATCATATTTTTAAATGAGGGAAAAATATTAAAAATTAGTCGAGAAAAAATAAATCAATGTGCACATATTCTAGTCCAATCATACGTTATTACTCAATTCTGTTAGATTTTTCCACAGATCATCTTCAGGTCTAAGTATGGATTGATGTGCAATAAATATAATTAAGTTTATAAAAATAAATATGTATGTAAGGCGCACGCAAATTTTATCAAGTGTAAACAGATTTTTTTCAAAATGCTGTAATTTTACAAGAATTATCTGAAGGATGTTGCCACCAAGCAATGAAATTTACAGTCTGTACATATTTAGTAAATATTTATTTATATCAATTTGGTAGGTTGTCATAATTTTTACCGTTTAAATTAAATATAATGAAAAATCAAGCAAAATTTATTAATTAAGGAACGAACATAATTTATAGCTCACGCAACCCCGAAAACCAACCTAAACAAACAACGCACAACCTAAAAATGTGTTTCAAAGTACGTAGTGTTTCAACACTACGTAGCAACAATAGGTTGTAATCGCGATATAAATAAACTCTTGTTAGAATTTTATAAACATTTTTTTTTTACAAATTATTTTTTACAAACAATAAATATGTAATTCTTTGATTTATAAACATGTGCTACGTCATTGCATCTAAATTATTCGCTACGTTTATTTCCGGAATAATCTGAAATACTTCCAGAAGCCAGTGCCGTACCTAGGATGCCTTGGGGTGCCAGCCAAGAGAATAACGGCCCAATCTCCCCCCGTCTTCCGTTACGTAATGTATGGACGACCCCGAAACACTTTTTGAATATTTATAGTGATCATTTTCTAAGGAAATTGTATACTTTTTTTAGCAAGCAAAAGAACTTTCGTTGAAGTTAAAGCTTAATATAATTATATCAGTGAGTTTAAAAAATGAGACACTATCTTGATTCTTTACCCTTGAGTATAGTCCCAACTTTTCTTATGAACTGCCTTCTTCCCTACTTATGAGTAAAACATTGTTTACTTGTCTGATAATGGCACTACTACTAATCCTAAGAAGGGAAGCTTCAGCTCCTGCACCTCTAAGATCTTAATGTGCTTTGGATATGTGGTAGTGTCCGATGAGTGTACTAAAACCCTTAAGTGGTTTGACTCCATGACCACACTTACGCCCGCCACACCAACTCAAAGGTGCCAAAAACACGAAAAAAGCCCTGTTTTAACTTGTTCAAACCCTCGCCAAAAATCCTAGTTTGGTCGGATGTTGGCAAAATTTACATTTTTGTGATCCCAGATACTTGTGTGATAATATTCAATTGATATCTCAACTTTTTGAAATTTTGAATTTCTTCGATTCATTCGACAAATCTAGAGTAATGTCAGTAACTCATAGATATGTACATATGTATGCATGACTCATTGGCAGTGCATTACGATCCAGGGGAGGAATTCAATTGTAATTTGCGCAATGCTTAAGCTTAGATTTTGAATCAAAATTTATGCTTACGCCTTGCGCAAAGTACAATTGAATTCCTCCCCAGGGGGTCAGTGGGAGTTGATTAGGTTTTAATGGCTTTTACATACATACGTATATTAACAAACCTCATAGGGTTTTACACATGTACAATATTAAATGAGTGTTGGTGGGTTTTATTAAGGATGTATGGACGTTGTTAAAGGCAAAGGATACTGTCCAACGACAGACAAAGTTACACAAACATATAATGCAGCCAACCAGGGAATTGATTTTTTAAATATTGTACATAATAATCCTAAAATATGGAAATGGATGGATAAAAATATGTTTCATTCTTTATCATCACAGGTTTCGGTTGACAAAGCCACATAAGATAAGATAAGATTTATTGGACCCCTATCGAGGCCACTTCGGGCCCATGAGGGTACAATTTTTACGAATTCATTAAACAGTTTGAACATTGAGACGCTTGGTTTACAATAAATGGTCAAGATCATACAAGGTGCATGGAAAATAATAACGTTTGCTAAAGTAAATATGTTGGATGACTGAAATAAAACAAATAGTCACTACAAAAAATGTGGTTCATAACAGAAGCATGCTGAGTCAAGCTGAAGGTGGGTGTGCACATCATGGTAAAGGAGTTCAGGACGTTTGGGTCGTCAAGTAGCTAAAGGACTATAGCTTCACAGCAGACTTGGAATGGGAAAACAGGCTGGGTGACGTCACATCCGGAGTCGAGCTGAAACTTGTCGACACTTGATTGGGATAAACTATGATGATGATGAGAATGGGTGGCTTTCAGCAGGGAGAATTTGGGATCATCCACCACCATCAATCTGGAAACAGAACGATTGCGGGCGGAGGGGTGTGACGGAAAACATTGTCGATGTAGTGGTCTTGATTCTGCCGGTAGAGTAATGATGATCGTCGAGACATAGCTTGTGGAGCGTCCTCCGAAGGGGGGAGTGGCTGGAAGGGTGTCCCCTTTCTCGGCCAGATCCTCGTCGTGGCAACGTAGATGCAGGTCGCGAGCAGCCAATTTTATGGCTGCACTCCGTATTTTATTGCGTAGCCGGATGTGTTAGATTTCACTTTTGCAGGTTTAACGAAATTCGCGTTATAATTGTTACAGATGGCAAATAGCCTGTCGATAATACAGTCCATTTCACAGGCAGACAGTAGCACAAATTCACGTTATCAATTCATAGTGTTTTTTTTGTACTTATGATAAGGCAGACCATCGAAATAAATATATGTATGTATTTATGACCCAAGTTTAAGTGTGTAAAAAGCATGTGAACAATTTGACTGGGGTAGCGGTGAAGGCATCATGTTCAGAGACCCGTCATACATATATTTTCAACTTTTTTAAAAACAACCAGATTGAACTGAAGCTATGGGATCTTGCTTCTGGTCAGGCATAGGTCAAAGGGTCAACAAATGTTTTTATATTGTAACATCCCCACCTTGGCTCGTCTGATCAACGACCAGGATTCCGATGGCCTTCAAAATAAATATTGATGAATATTTAATTCACTCGATTTCTTGGTTGGCCACCAAGAACTCGGGAAGACATTAGCAGACATAGGAAGGAGTAATTCTTCCTAGAGATAAGGGTGTCTCAGTCACAGGATGTAATTGAGAGACCAGACAACTAGATTAGATTAGTTTGAATGAGGAGATTATGTTCTCCTGATTGTGGATGGAAGATAAATTTTAACCTAGTTAGTTCTTAGATTGAGGCTCCTCAAGTCATATTTTTTATGCCAGCTACAACACATACATATATGTACATACACACATCTTTATTTAAAACAAATTAAATTTTGTAAAGTTTTTCCAGTTTTCAGTCGCTCGATCTTGCTCTCCCACCATTTATGAGCATATTTCGGCACACCCACCTCTTTAGGGAACGTATCAGTTTATGTCATATAGTTCGAAGTTTTCAGATGTACATGTGAATATGTTGTCACACATTTCGGCTTATGTTTCCAAAA